CAGAGGTTTCAAGCGAACAAACTAATTGTGCTTTTGTTTTGACTATTTTGGATACTAACGGAGAATTCTCATTAGAATATAAAGATAAAAAACAAGTGATTCAGCGGAGAGTCTCTTTACGATGAATTTATCATCAAACTGTACTGTTATGGTGCGTGCTACTGATAAGACTTATCAGTAGTATATAAAGGGACGTTCATTGACATAAAAGGATCAGATAGCAGGGAGATTGATTTGATGTCAGAGAAAGCAAATGATACAGCGTTTTGGAGATACATGACAGATGTGAAAGGAATACAAAGAAACACAATATAAAGACTAAAAGTAGCACAATGCTGAAGATTTGTGCAAATGGTGCGCAGAAGGTAGGTGTACATAATTTTGCTATAAATAGATCCCAACACTCCTTTACGAAGTCTCTAGTCTTCCACCGTTGCAATGTGGTTTTTATTATTGATGATGTGAATTGTGACGAAAAATTAATGTGTCATATAATTTACAAAATACTTCATGACATGTATCAGTCTCAAAAGGAGTGTAGAAATAATAACAATCGTAAGCATGCAAGTCATTACGCGACAAGGTGATAATTATTGAGGCAACAGCAGATATGCTGACTTTATTATTGAGAAAGGTCTGGAAGGAAGGAAAGGTGCCTACTGACCGGAGGAAAGGTTACCTTGTGAAACTACCAAAGAAGGGTGACTTAGGACTCTGCAAAAACTGGCAAGGAATCATGCTCCTGTTGACGCCAAGTAAAATTTTGAGTCGCATCATCTTGGAGAGAATAAAAGACGCACTGGATGCAGCACTGCAACCAGAACGAGCTGGGTTCAGGAAAGGCAAATCATGTTCTACAAATCATCATCGAACAAAGCATGGAATGGCAATCAAACCTCTACCTCAACTTCATAGACTTTGAGAAGGCCTTCGACAGTGTTGACCGCGAAGTAATTTGGAAACTACTCGAGTACTACGGCGTACTTCAAATATTCATTAACCTCATTCAACATCTGTACGACAACGGCACATGTCAAGTGATCCACAACGGAAAACTCAGCGAGGCGTTTGGAGTAAACACAGGAGTCAGACAAGGGTGCTTATTATCACCAATGATATTCCTAATTGTGGTGGACTGGATTATGCGTCAGACAGTAGGAAACGAGAAGACAGGGATATCCTAGACCGACGTGAGTAATCTAGAAGACCTGGATTTTGCGCGTGGATGATTTATGTTTGATGTCACACAAAATCGAAGACTTACAAGCGAAAACCGACAAACTGGTCGAAGAAGCAGCTGGAGAAGACAGGACTCCAGGTGAACATAGACAAGATGGAGGTTATGAAAATAACCAACCAACAACAACAACAGCAGCAGCAACATCCAGCGCCAATCACCATCAACGGGAGGGAGGGATTTGAAAGAGGTTACTTCATTCACTTATCTAGGCAACCAGCATTGTCTCAACTACAGGCAGGTGGAACGGATGTGGATGTCAAATCGAGAATCAGGAAGGCGAGAAACACATTCATCAACCTGAAACCAATCCAATCTGGAAATCTTCCGCTGTCACTCAACTCAGCATCAACGACAAAATTCGGATTTTCAATACAAACGTCAGTCAAGTCAGTCAGTTCTTCTATACGGATGGATCAGAAACTTGGCGGCGGGTCACAAAGAATGAGTATTTCCAACAGCCTGTTGCAGACATTTATCAACAACTGTCCTTGCTCTCTACTCGAGATCAGATGGCCGGAAAGAATCACCAACAAGAAACTATGGGAAGAAACAAAACAAGAAGCAATCGCTCAAAATGCATGAAGTTTCTCAAAAATCGCTCAAAAAGTATGCAGGAGAAAGTGGAGATGGATTGGACACTCACTGGCTGAGGAGGCCACTCGCTGGGTGACATTGCGCGTTAGGCTAACGCTCGAGTGTAACGCGAAATGGAGTTGGCGAGTGTGACATCCAAGGGTGACATGGAGGAGATCGTGTGAAGAAGAGTTGAAACAGCATGGACTAACATGGATGCAGGTGAAAGGTTAAGCGGCAGATAAAAGCAAGTGGAGACGTGCATTTGAAGCCCTATGTTCCACTAGGATCCCAAGGGAACAATAATAATAATATTTAATTCAAGAAAATGAGGTAACACCTAATATCAATGCCGTAAATTGTTCAATTTGAAATTAGCAATAAGAGTGAAGGTACCCTACACAAAGTGAATGAACAAAACGAAATGTAAATAAGGTCAGAGTAGAAATAGGGATTATCATACTTCAGCGCAGACAGGTTAAAACCGTGAAAGAAAGAGTGGTTGAACAACTTATCTGTACACAAAGATCTGGCTTACCTATTTCTATGATCAAAGCTTCGGCAGTACAGATACGTGTTGATTTTTGCAGGTTATTTTACGCCTTGTAGACACCTTTAAAATAAAAGGCTGTAGAATGAATAAGTTGACGAATGTCAACCAGTATGCTCAGTTATTGAGCTTCTTACGGTATTAATTCTGCCTTTTTGTAACCACATAGGATAGTGCTCTTGCACACATTCGGACAAATGCCGAATCTAGTGACCTATATACCTAGTTCATCTGTAGTAGGTGAATGACGGACGCACAAAGAGTTAATGCGGTGCGAGATCTTATCCTTCAGGTTACTGAACAGCAATCGTCAGCTGTAAAACACTATACTTAACAATACTGTGGTGGATGTCTTTTTCAGGGATTGTGAGGTCCCTCTTTTAAGGATGTTGGCAGCTAAGTTACTTTTGAATTCAAGGTTCACACACAACATTTACTTGGTCATAGATATAAGAATAAAACTTGGGCACTGTGGTAGAGTGTAATTCCATTATGGGTAAATTTTATTTTGATAGAGTCTCACAGTGTTATACAGTAATGTTTACTGATGACCACGTTTCGAGCACAATTTATTGGTCATAATCATATCAAGGCAATCACACGACTTCCTAAATTCATCCATATAGTTCCATTGTTTTTCACTTGATTTTCACTTGATTTGATTGGTAGTAATATTTTCCGTATTTCGGGTATGAGTGATGAATCATTCCTATTGCATGTGTTGGGTGTAGATTCGATGAACAAGGATTCAGTAATCAACCTCTCTTTCCACCTACCTAGATTACTTTTTAGAATTTTAACCCTCTCCCACCCTATTGTGTGGTTGTGTGTTAATGCATGCATTGCAATTGCCGAGCTTTTTTCTAAATTACTTATCTTCTCTGGGAAGTCGTGTGATTACCTTGATATGATTATGAGCAATAAATTGTGCTCGAAACGTCTTCAGTAAATATTACTATAGAACACTGTGAGACTCTATCAAAATAAAATTTACCCATAATGGAATTTACTTGGTCATAGAAATTAAATCATATTTCTTAGGTTTTAACTGTATGTTCCAGTCTATAAAACGTGGTTGTATAACATTTATCATTAAAACTCTTCTTAGAAGATATAACGCTTCCTCCACAGCATTACGACTACATATACACCGAATGCAAGTCGTAAGTGATCAAATAAGGTTCCGTTTTCGACCCATGGGTGCCCAGCTATACATCTTTGTAATAAATACGTTGAAAACCGTTTTTGCTGAGTCAAATGTGAATATATTCACACTTGAACTATGTGACTATTAATCAGCCCATTTTCAGCCATTTCTAATTTAGATGAATCCCTGAACATCGACGTCGTCCTTTACATCAGTGATAAATCCAGCTTTAAGAAACTTCAGAAATAGTTCACAGTTACTTATTTCACTTTTATGACTGATTAAGTATAGAACAGTTTCAAAATGTTGAATTGTTGGCCACCCATATAAACTGATGTAATCAGGTAAAATGTGGAGAGTTCACATCCATTACACCTGCTCTTGCTGATTCGTGCCAATTCTGTACTATACTTTATCATTTCTTCTGCAATCTATGTGGCTTTTTCAGCTTCAAACACTGTACAAACATTCCATGTACTCATGCTTAAACTTACTTTCGTAGATAGAAGACTCATCGACTGACTAGCTTCTCGAAGAATTTCACCAGCCGGCATCATCCCGTGTCTCTGATTCTGGCAAAGAATACATAGTTTCACAACCTGATTTTCATATAAATAATTGAAAGTAGGCGTTTGGGCTTTACACCAGGCAGCAGGTGAGCCTAGTATTTTACATTTTTCAGGGTTTTTAAGTTTCTGTAGCTACTGGGTTGATTTTCCATGGTACAGTAGCTACCCAATTTCCAAACCTTCCCTCTATTTCCAGTCTTAGGGCCAATCTGGTAAACTTGGTGATATCATATAAACTTGAAGACATACAGGCGATAATTAACAAACTAACAGAAGAACCAGCGGAGAAAGGACTTTAAGTGAACATGGAGAAGACACAGGTGATGAAGATAACCAATGAACAACATCAATAATGAAACCCTACTTACAGGAGCAATTTGAATGAGGTCCTTCCCTTTACCAATTTGGATAGCTTTGTTTCACAAATAGACGCCACTGATAGGGGTGAAAAAACAAGGATCAGAGAAGCTAGACACTTTTTCGTTAAACTGAAATCAGGATTCAGATTTCCAACACTAATGTCAAGTCACTTCTTCTATTTGTCCCTAAATGCATTTCGAATAGGTTGCTGCAGACTTTTTATCAAAAGCTGCCTTCACTCCATGCTGAAGATCAGATGGTCAACCGGAACGGATTAGTATCAAGGAACTCTGGTAGAAAACTAACCCAGAATCTGTTGCCCGACATAGATGTTGAAGTAACTGGAGATAGGCTGGAAACACTTTGAGGAGAAAATTGGGTGAAATAGTGAAGATTATGTGAGGAGGAGATGAGAGTTTTTAGATAATGGTCTGTATGAACCAACTATTCGCAGATAATGTTGAATCAAATAGCAATCTGAAACTTTTTTATATCATTTCGACTACTTAAATTAATTACTAGTAGCTAAAATGTTATTTTAAAAAAGGGGTGCAAACTCACTTGTCTTAACTTTAATAGTTGACTTCTTTTGTCTGTCTTGAAATGTATATAGGAATGTATTTGAAGTGGTTTTCTGTACACCTGAGGCAATTGTCACCGGAACTTTAGTGTCTTCTGCGTAGATTGGTTGTGCGCGATGTATATGACTTATGTTTATTTGACAAGTTTGATTGCCCCAATTGGCCGTACTGTAATGAAATGGTTTTGAAAACTGGAACGGAAATGTATAAACATTACTAGTGCTATTGATATTATTATTGCTATTATTATTAATATCACCACTATAAAGCATTAAACACTAACTCTAAATTATACCGTTAGGTAGTATTCAGGGTATCTTCGTTATTATAGTGGGATTAATATCATATATGTATTCCTGAGTGTTTTTTATCAGCTAACTAGGAATCTCGCTGTCACGGTGCAATCTGAGGTGTTATTAGACAGTTGGAAGCGACCAGCAGGAATCGGAAGGCTCGAAGTATGTGCCTGTCGGGACTTGTCAACAGGGGATTGCTTTCCCCTTGGAGATTTGCACGTGCATCACTCACTGCTGCAGTCAGAGATCTCATCATAAAGCAAAATTCATAAAATCATTGACAGAATAACAGGTAAAATAATTACCCTATAGTGGCTGTATAAGGTGTGTCATACAGTCTGGAGTCATTGTGAGGCTACGAATTAATGACCCGGAAGTTATTCTCACTGGAATGCTTACATACACAATTCACGATTTCTCATATTTATTAGATTCTCATAATTCTCTATGTATTCAATCCTTCTCCAGTATATTTCTTAACTGCGAAGTTCTTTTGCATCTTTCCTTTACATTTATGTGTACTTCATCAAGGTTTAATAAATTCAACTGATGTACGTTTAAGTAAAGTTTGGTCGTTACACAAGCTTACATGGGGAACAATTCAGTCTTTATGTTACTAAATTTACCTCTAGGTGGTCAGTTTTGGTATTGTAGAGAGCATCAGTCATTCATTTATCTAGGGAGCATTGTCTCAACTACACGAGGAGGAGGAACGGACAAGGATGTCACATCGAGAATCGAGAAGGCGAGAAACACATTCATCAACCTGAAACCAATCTCGAAATCTTCCGCTGTCACTCCTCAACATCAACAACAAAATTCGCATTTTCAAGACAAACGTCAAGTCAGTCAGTTCTTCTATACGGATGGATCAGAAACGTGGCGGCGGGTCACAAAGAATGAGTATTTCCAACAGCCTGTTGCACACCTTTATCAACAACTTACTGTCTTCGCTGGCTCTATACTGAAGATCAGATGGCCGGAAAGAACAAGAACCAACAAGAAACAAACTATGGGAACAAACAAAACAAGAACCAATCAATCGCTCAACAAATATGCAGGAGAAAGTGGAGATGGATTGGACACTCACTGGCTGAGGAGGCCGCTGGTTGACATCGCGCGTCAGGCAAGTGCTCGAATGGAACCCGAAAGGGAAGAGGCGACTGGGACGTCAGTGCAAGGGTGACATGGAGGAGATCGTGTGAAGAGGAGTTGAAACAGTATGGACTAACAGGGATGCAGGTGGAAAGTACAGCAGAAGACAGGAGCAAGTGGAGACGTGTAGTTGAAGCCCTATGTTTCACTAGGAACCCAAGGGAACAATTATAATAATAACAATAATAATAATAATAGAGAGCATCAGTTGTGTTGTAGTCTGTAATGGCAAGTACAAACGATTAAAAGAGACAAACTGTCCAGAGTATACTAACTATTGGTTTCAAATGAATTTATATGAATCAACAATGCTAGCTCTACTTTTTATCTTAGTTTACTCAGCATGCAATTAATTAAAATATGACATAAGTTATGTACCGAACGGCACCATTGATAATTCGTTTAATTCAGTGTCGATTAGTACAATCAGATGTAGCAGGTAATCACTTGTTTTACTTGCTTAAGTTTATTCTTGTGGCAGATACTGTCCTATCTGTGAACTAACCTTCTAAAAGACATTTATTCACATAACATATTGAAGTACACTGAACATTACTTTCCAGTTGGATTTTAACTTCACCGAATTCAGTCAGACACTGTTCATTTATACATTTCACGGTGGTATATACCTTGGAGCACAATAATCGTTGGAAAGACTAAGTGTTTAATCCCAAATAATTCGATTTACAGGTGTTAGGTAGCAAAAAATTTGCATAATTTTGATTTTCATCACGTATTGCTTAGATTCGGAGAATCATTGATACCTGGGAGTAGCTGTTTTTTCTCTGTTTGGCGCTCTTCAACAGTGTGCAACCATCACGCCATCAGGAATCGAACCAAGGACCTTCTGGTTACAAAGCGACTTTGCATACTGTTCAGTCACTGGGACAGAACCAAATGGCCCATCAGCTCTAACTTCTGTCAATTTGTGTTACAGCTCGATTGCCCGTTAATATCATTAGAGAGCACCTTCTCTCACTTCCTAATTGGAAGACTCCACTTATCAGGAATTCTCACACTGATGAGTCCTACAATAATTTTTAAGTATTGGTTTACAGGGATTCAATTGATTTCAATTTATATCACGAAATAACTTAAGTCACAGAACCACTGAAAACTTGAGAGTATTGGTACCTGTAATCTGAATGTGCTGGGTTCGATACTTAATGGAGCTGAAGAGTCCCGAACAAGGACAAAATGGATGTGAAATACTTGTGGTTTTCATTAGTTCGCTAGGTGAAAACGATTTGTGATTTAAATTGAGAAGTCAACTTTACTTTTTCAATTCGTACCTCTAGAAAGTGTGTCAGTTTAAACTAAGATTTTGGTGCACCTAATTTCTTCATTTTTCTGTCATCTCGCGTAAAATTTACTTTTACATATAAGCCTATGTGACTGCTTACCTGTACAATAATATATTTCTCTTCTTTATGCCTCTGAAGTATTGGTAATTCTTTATCAAATTCTTTTAAACTTTTCAATTTATATAACGACAATTCTTTGTCAGAAGATTTATGTACAATTGCATCCTTCCATATTGGTAAATCTGTTCTATGCTCTAGATGAATATTCTCATTCCATAATAATAGTGCGCCTCGTTTCTGAAAGGATCCCTGTCGGTTCTGAAAGCGATCTTTCAGTTTGTCAAGTTTACGACTTCGATATTTCTTTTCATTCTCTAAGTTGATATCATATTTTAACGGTGAACTATACCAAATAGTATTCGGTGAGTCTGAACTATCCAGAGTTAGCCATGTTTCTATTGTGTATAGAATTTTAGGGGGACTGTGTTTGATATGGCATGTATATGTTCCATTGTTCAGATCAAATTCAGGGTTTAAAGTGAATTTTAGTGTTTTACCTGAAAAAAAAAGAAATAACGATGAGTCTAACAAAAAATGATTTACATAAAATGTATCTACTTATTTAATAATAAGTAGTATAAAATTAAATACTACAATCTGTTAATAATTTTAATGAATTTTACCTTGTAGGCATATTTCAGTAGCATTCGAATGTCTACTCGTATATATTTCACATTTAGCACCAAAATAATCGAGACAACTTGGACTAGAATAACAGTCGATACGGCAACAATGAGGTTCTAAAATATAATGAAATAAAGAGAAGCTGAATTAATAATTACAGTTGGTTTCCGGCATTCAAATCATGACTAATTCATTCAAATAATGGGAAGTAATCTCAGAAATGTTATCCCTGTCAGACAGTTTTATTTGTGTTATGGTTGCAAAATAACCGAAATTCATCTACTAGTTGTCTGCATCAGAATGATTTTTCAGTGAGCAAAGATCAAGCAGAAGACTGCTATATAGTACTGGGTTACTGATAACAGGCATTTACAAATGACGGATGTTTAAAAGTACATGGCACTAAACTGAGATCCTCTGCATGACGCCTCAGTAGCAGTGCAAGCCTACATCCTTCTCCGGCAGTGGATCTTTACTGTTATGAAATCTGAAACTAAGTGGGAGGAGATGTTCACCTCACCTAGCTAGTATCAGTTTGTGGAGAGTTTCTTCGGTATCTGTCCTCTACCACGCAGACCCTTTCAGCCCTTAATCTCAGGTTTATTCGTAGAAATTCTTCAATAATTAGTTTAATATGCATTCCTCTATAAAGATTTAAGGAAAAAAAGCAGTAATGCTCTCGTGTGTACCGATTCTGGCGGCACTGAAAAGTTAGGTGTAATCGGTAGAAGGTTGTGTTAAAAATCCACAGTCAAGATGCAGGATACTAAATACCAGTAATTCCGGTGGCTTAAAGTAATTTTACCGTCTGAGAGGCCTCACCCACTGTGAGCTTGACTCTAAGCGAATGAAGAGTCCGTCTCGCACTTAGGCGATTTTTTATGGTTATTGATTACTCCTGTATGACATCAGTAGTTTCCAAATACTTGTTCTAACCAGTATTATGAGCCATCTTTCGATTCTAATCTCTTCTACTTGGAGAGTAAGCATCGAGAAATGGTAAACAAGCTTTTTTCCTTAATTGTTCAATTTGGTAGTTGATTCGAACTAACGATAAAGTTAAAAAAACATGACTAGTATGTCGCTGGATTTCGGTTTTGAATTTCTACCACAGGGTATCCTCAATACCAAAGATGTTTGCAATATGTCATGAGTTAGACGAAATTCTTGAATTTCAGTACTGAATGTTTTAGAATATGTACAGTACACTGTTTAGGTATCAAAGGGGGAGCGAAACTCCGTATATCTCTCCAAGCTCACAGAACTAACATAACAATATATGCGTAAATATCAAACTACTTGTTAAGATGATACTAAATATAAAAGACCCTTCAGCGGAAGCCAAGGGCATTCGATAAATACCAACTGTAAATACTCACAAAGAAAGCATTGGATGCACACTAATCCATAATAGATGGGTGGGAAATCAAAATATTTTTTGAATATACTTTGACAGACACTACGCAACAACCAATGACATATGTCTGGTTCTTCGTATGATGCAGACAGAATTCTATCAATCACGTCTACAATACAACCACCATGTTTGGCGGCTCACCATACGGATTTACTCTTAATGACACTCGTCAAGAGGCATATCTGGAATACTCCAGAAATTGTTAGATGCTTGAAGGTGACTGGCAGGAAGCCTCAGACTTAGGTTAGCACTCGTCATCAAGATGCATCTGCGATCTTGAAGCAACGCACACCACTTCTGATATTCGACCCAGAATTTCCTAGTTCAAGACTTCAGATATGCCTTGCTGACATGTGCCATCAAGTACGAAACCTAGAGCTAAGGGTTCCTGCCAGTCGCCTTCAAGCATTTAACAATTTCTGGAGTATTCTTTTGTTTGAAATAAATAGCTCATGATGATCGACGAATGAGGAGTAATCAGCATTACATGTCTACTCCTAATGTAGGTACTGACAGCACTCTGTCTAACCTACTACATTAAGAAACCTAGACAATCTGGAATCACCCAACCTCTACTTTCACAATTTGTCAACTCTCGTATCTTACCTATTCTACTTTACTGCTCACCGTTAGTCTTTCCTGGTCTACCGAAAAAGGACTTTACCATACCGAGAAGGATGTTGAAATTAGTTAGTAGGACTAGTGGTGTAAAACTCAGTCAGCTCGTCACTACATTAGTTGATAGGCATCTGAATATATGCGAAAAATGGTCTAAAACCATACTTTCTGACCTCCAACACCCCCTCTATTCCAAACTCTCGCCTTGTATCTCATTAAGTAGAATCAGAAATCTGTATAAAATAATCTATGCTCGTACAACCAAGTACAGGAACTCAACGATACCATACTTGACTCGTGTTCTAAGTGACAGAAACAATGTTAAGCGTGAAACCTATGACTTGCTTTGTTGTTAATAACATAATTTTAGGCTCTTTTATTTCTCTCTTATTTTGCATTCTATAGTGAACTCCTTCTTAAACATACTTAGCTACCTAAATTATTAACATTGGCTTACTTTTTTGTACTTTACTGTATTCCTTCTTTTGTGTATCTACTGGTTCCGACTATGTTAGCACTATGAGTATTACAAAACTGTCCTGTCATTAACCGTCATTTAATTATTAGTTTTTATTTGTTGTTTTTTTATTTATTTATTTTTTTCGGCAATATTAAACTGACAATCATTGGTTGTGAACGCCATTATCACCATCTTAAAATTTTGCACTATGCAGGATTACTCACACTACCATTACAAACACTGCATTAGACCTGACAATAAAAACAAAACAATAACCCAGAAATGTTATTTTATGATTGTTTAGTATTGTTTCAACTAAATTAACTGATCTTCTTGGCGATAAGCATTCTTAAATATCATTTCATAACTTCTTGTATGACTATAGCTTTATTGTCACCATGCATAATCATATCATAGCTTCCACTACCAAATACTGAGATATAATTATATTCTATTTATTTTCCTTTCTACTTCTTGGTACATTTTCGCATTTTTTAAAAATTATTTTTGTGTTCTTTTGCTGTTGTTGTCTTTATATTTATTTTTTTGAAATACTCCTTTTAAACGTTGGATAAAATTATATGCAAATATTGTAGATACGAGCTGAAAATTCCACACTGTATCACTAGTACTGTTTCTAGAATAAAGCAAATTATTATTATTAATTTGGAATATGATCCCCGATGAGGTGAAACTTTTGAAATTAGGTTTGGTGCTTGAAGCCAGATATGCCTCATTGACGAGTGTCATTAAGAGTTAATCCGTATAGTAAGCCAGCCAACATGGTGGTCGTATTGTGGACGAGATTGATAGAATTCAGTCTGCATCAAACGAAGGAGTAGACATATGCATGCTATTGATTTTTGCCCAGTGTCTGTCAAGGTATATTTCAAATATTTTTCTAATCTTCCATTTATCTCTTAGAAAAATTACACTGATTGATTTGTTTTGTTCATGTTCATGAATTCATTTATGACAGAGTACTTTCCAGGCTTGTTTATACAGTCAAGTACTAAAAAAAGCAATACCCAACTCTGAATACATACTCAAAGAAAAGGAAAATATATAAATCACATACCGTTAACCGCCCATAAATTCTGTACAATATCATTCACTTGGAGTAAATTTTCACTAGTTACTCTGTGATTAATGTTATTAATATTATTATTATTAATATCATTGTTGTTATTTATCCCGATATCACCATGACTACCGATTACATCATTCTGGGGAAGGTTTTGTCTTACACTCATTTCAGATTGAACATTATTGTTATTATTATTATTATGATTGTTTTTTTCAACATTCCAACAAGATTGTTTCAGACATGTCTGACAGATACGACGTTGTGTATCACAATGAATATCTTTTAGATATGATTGACTTTCAATAATTTCTTCTTGAAATAATTGATTGACCAAGGGTGAATTAATTGTACAATAGAAACTGTTCAACTGTGGAGGTAGATAGGAAGCTTTCTAAAATAAAATTTATGCGGGAAAAAAAGGAATGAGGAGGAATTGTAACGGAAAGGGACATAAGGAGAGAGACTATGAGGGAAATATCAAATTAATTACAGTGGTTGTAGCAAAACAGTCAAATTGAACGAGATCAAACAATTGTATAGTTGGATGAATAGATGCAACTAACTTAAATGCTCATGCCAAATAAACCAAAAACACACTTGATTAAAACAAAAGCTATCAATCAGCATTCAAGTTGTGTAATCGGGAGCTATCTAATGGCCGTGCCTTAATTTGATGTATTAAAATCTATGGGTTGGTTACAGTTAGTCAAAAAGGAAACAAAGCCCCTGCTAATGAAATTTGCAACTATTCCTAAGGTAACTACTGTCTTTATGAACCTAGAATTCAAATGTGACACCCTGAAGCAGAAATTCTTTGAAACGACCCTTCTAAATATCTGGTGAAGATATCTCAAGCAGCCAGCTTATAAATCACATTCTCCTAGGAGGTAGCTAATCTATTCAAGTGTTAGGGATAAGATATCACCTTTGGCTGTCTCAGTGTATACCATGGTTCTCTTGTTCTCTGTGGAGCAACGTATATCGGCCGTACGCAATGTCAAGTCTAAAAAGGTATTCCAGCTTGGGTAGCCAGAGGAAGAAAGAATAATACCAGTGGTTCTATTCTTACCTTACCAACTTGCGCGTCTTACCAACTCTGGACATTGGTCGTCCCTGCATGATGGCTTCAAGTGGCAAGCAGAGTTACTCAATCTCGTAGTAAAGGACTTCAAATACGCCATCTATATAGGTAGCCGAATCACTGGCTACTTTCGGAGGTATAAACAGTTTTTCATAGGAAATAAGCAGACATTAGTAGTCGTCACTTTTCACTTCATGTGAGAGTATGAAGATTTTAAGTGGGATCAGAATCCGTAAGCTATACATACATAACACAAGCTTGATCACTAAACTATCCGAACTGTGGAACACAATAAAAGCCAGAAGCATCTTCTACCTGAGGTGCGAATTTTTTCCATTTGAGCAAATGCAATCAAATTGATGCTATAATAATAGTAATGCTGGATGTCATTAAGCAAATGAGTTATCACTACATCACAGAAGGAAAATTACACCCTACAGTAAAATTTTTCGCGGTGATTAGATCTGCTTTATTTATGCTTTTTATAATATCTGCTGACTTGCGAAATTTCTTCTGAAAGTAAAATTTTTGTATTCTAAAATTTGTGAACATTAATTGTCTATAGTTTGGTTTGTAAGGGTTAGTTATGTTTCTTACGAGTTGATCACGGATTGATATCAGTGAGAGAACCATTGAAAACCAGGAAGTACTGGACAGCTGATCTTTCATCCTAGTTTGGGAATCATCGGCAGTACGCACCCACTGGGATTCGAACCCAGGACCTTCTGGTCACAATGCAAGCTCGCATACCATTCAGCCACTGGGACCTAATTCGATGGCTCATGAATTCTAACTTCCACCAATTCGTCATTTAGCGCGTGATCAACTCGTAAAAACATAACATAACCCTAACAAACCAAAGTATAGGAAATTAATCTGATGCTCGCTAGTGACTTGCTACAGGATGGAGTTTCCTGGAGTTCTAGTGAGAAGTCGTGACCAGTGAGGTCCAATTTGATGTCACGTGTGTGAATGGATGTCCCACCAAGGACAATGGGTGGGGTCGCGCTAAATCACGAATTGGTAGAAGTTAGAATTCATGGACTGGCCATTAAATCGAGTCCCAGTGGCTGGATGGTATACGAGCTGGATTGCCTTGTAACCAGAAGGTCCTGGGTTCGAACCCCAATGGGTGCGTACTGCCGATGATTCCCAAACTAGGATGAAAGAGCAGCTGTCCAGTACTTCCTGGTTTTCAATGGTTCTCTCACTGATATCAATCCGTGATCAACTCGTAAAACAACATTAATTAGTTGACGTCAGAACACTCAACCAGTGATCCAGAGGATGTTGTGTTTGCACTCGTGTGAAGACCAAAGCTACTGTTTCAGACCCAATCGACGGTGATGTAGTAGCAGTCTATAAAAATAAAGTTAACCTCAGAAGACTTCACAAAAATTTAATAATATCGACTAGGATCTAGAGAGAAAACATTTTTTAAAGAAAACAGCCCTCGTCTCTGAATAAATTTTACCAATTTGATCCCCAAACTTGGATTAAAATTCTTAGTTACAGAAGAGATGAAGTCTATCTCGTGATTGGAATCATTTTAAGAGAGTCTTTGAAGATATCTTCATGCACTGGTTTCCAACCAGTAGTGTTTAGCATGGCGTCCGGAAACTCTGTCTAATGGTCATATGAAAATTAGTAATGTGAAATTTATCTTTCTGTCTTTCGGGCATCGTTTCAAGCATAGGCGGCATGCATGAGAATGTCAAATGCAGAATGGATCGGAAAGGCAAGACAGAGGACATTCATTACTCTGAAATCCATCTGGAAATCTGCTGCACTCAACAGAAAGAATATGATTCGGATTTTCAATAAGAAAGTCAAATCACTGATTCTGTATTGTCCCGAAACTTTGCATGTCCTCAAAAGCATTTCTGACAGGCCACTTCAGGCTTTTATCAACAACTAACTTCGCTTCATACTGAGGATCAGATGGCAGGACACAAAAGATTAGCGACAAAGAACTCCGACGATGAATCAGCCAAAAATATGTTGCAAAACAAATATGCAGAAAGAAATGGATTAGACGCATGCTGAGTAAGAACGTGCATCGGCTAGGCCTCTAGTGGAGCCCAAATGGGAAACGGCAGGTTGGGCTTTGGTCGAGGGTGACATTAAGGAGATCGTGAGTAATAGAGAGATGAAAGCTGATGGGAAATCGTAAGGCCAGATAAAAATGACTTCAGGAAACAGGGTGGAATTATGATGCACTTCTGGAGCCCTATGTTCCACTTTGAACCTAAAACATTATGTAACCTTAACTCATTCAGATAGCTCAGACTGTATTTCCGACTATGAAATCCTACAGTGATAAAACACTAGAGTTCAGTAATCTAAAGTTTCTCAACTTCTAATTTAAGTGCATTTATTCACAGTCCATTATAAGACTTTGTAGTTTGAAAAGCAAGTTGGATACCAGAACACTTTTTCCGATAAAAGACCACAGCACTGCAAATTCACAGAAGTAAGAGTAACTTTCTCCTGCACCATGGAAACAGAGTCAATCTGGGGGGACTTTAGTTGTTCATGAGAGTGTTGTGCTCGAGACGGGGTGAGAAATTTGAAGGTGTATACAAGATGCAGTCCCTTTATATGGTGAGTTGGTTTCAAGCGTCTAAAAATTAACAAAGTGGGCATATTTTCAGAATTCCTGTGATAAAAAAATCTTCAATTCATATAACCTGGTCGAGAACTCTTTATAGAAAAATGCCAGCAAAATAATTGTTATTAGGACTTCTGCACTAAATGAGATGTTCACCGACGTCAAAGCCAAGATCCTCTGTTCATAAGTAGTTCTTTCATGTTCTTTCTGAGGGAATAATTATATATGCAACTCAGACCTACAACTTATAGAAGTATCTGTGGAATTCAGAGTCGTGCAAAACGCTGTGCATACTTCTACATAACGCGCCACTAGATAAGAGCATAAATTCGTCATACGTGTCTTATTGTACATGCATTAGCAATTCTCACCTTCATATTTTGTGATTTCAGTTAACATGCATTAAATCTTCATTTGCAAGTTATTCATGCACATTATTTATCTCGAAATCAATGTATTACTTAAATAGTATAGTAGTAAAAAAAGAAATTCTTGCAATTTTCAATATTCTTTTGCTATTTAAATAGAAGTAGCCATTCAATGAAAGAAAGAAAGAATAATTCGCGGTGAGTTACCATACAGAACATGTCATAACAAAAAGCGCAGTCTTTATGCTACATCACATTTGAAACTCACATCTGAGACCAATATTGCATGATCTAACTGAAAGCACACATTTGTAAACAAACAACCACACAACAAAACAAACAAACAAAGAGAATTTGAAATTCATTTGTGTATATATATATACACAAAAACAAAACAACAGAATTATTCGTCAAAAAAGATTGATGTTTTGTTATTTCGTATATTTATTTATTTATCTATTTATTTTTGAATTTCATTAATGTTAATTGTCAGTTCTACATGATTGATTCGAGTTGGATTTCATTCACAGTGTGTTGTGCCTCTTGCCAAATATTGTGTATGTCACTCACTGCAGAATGTTGGTATCTATCACTGTCGTGAAATTATCCTTTCATATTTTAACGACTTATATACAGTCCTTTTGAAATATAATTAATATTATTTTAAGGAAAGTGGTTAGATTTATTTATATTTTACGAGTTGATCACGGACTGATATCAGTTAGAGAACAATTGAAAACCAGGGAGTACTGGATGCTCGCTAGTGACTTGCTACAGGTTGGAGCTACCTGGAGTTCTAGTGAGAAGTCGTGACCAGTGAGGTCCAATTAGATGTCACGTGTGTGGATGGATGTCCCACCAACGACAATGGTTGGGGTCTTGCTAAATCACGAATTGGTAGAAGTTAGAATTCATGGACTGGCCATTGAATCGGGTCCCAATGGCTGAATGGTATACGAGCTTGCCTTGTAACCGGAAGGTCCTGGGTTCGAATCCCAGTGGGTGCGTACTGCCGATGATTCCCAAACTAGGATGAAAGAGCAGCTGTCCAGTACTTCCTGGTTTTCAATGGTTCTCTCACTGATATCAATCCGTGATCAACTCGTAAAACATAACTAATCCTTACAAACCAAACTATAGAAAATTATTTATATTTGCTTCAGTTGTTAGATTTTCACCACGAGCCAACATAAGTTAGAGATATCAAAGCACTGAGAGCACCACTGGCCAGATGTTTCGTCCTGTTCGAGGACTTCTCATCAATGCCCAGCCAGTGTTATATTACGTACGAGTTGACAGAGTTAGAATTATAAAAAGAAAGCGCCCAAATT